GGGCGAAGAAGAAGAAGAAATAGCGGGGAAGACAGGGAGTATTTCTGGTGGTCTGACATGATTTGATTTCCGAGGCCTTGCTTTCTAATAACCAACGGCCTACTCGCGCACTATCAAGCTCGCCATGCCCATGCCTGTGCCTATGCACATGCTCACGACGCCAAACTCCTGGCCTTGCCTCTCCAACTCGGGCAGCAGCGTCGCCAACTGCCGTGCTCCCGTGGCACCTAGAGGGTGTCCTAGCGCAATGGCACCGCCCTTGGGATTGACCTTTTCTTCGGAGATTCCTAGCTCGCGGATGCAGTACAAGGCCTGGCTGGCAAAGGCTTCGTTGATTTCCCAGATGCCGATTTCTTCCGTTTTCACGCCCGTGTAGTCGAGCAGCTTGGGAATGGCCAGGGCAGGACCGATTCCCATTTCGTCTGGGGCGCAGCCAACGACTTGAGTGCCTGCCCACTTGCCAATGATGGCGCCGGACAGACCCAGGGCCTGAGCAGTGCTGCGGCGCATCATGAGAGCGGCTGCGGCACCGTCCGAGACTTGGGAGCTGTTGCCGGCTGTCGAGGTTCCGTCGGGCTTGAATGCGGGCTTCATGGTGGACAGTTTTTCGACGGTCGTCGTCGGCCTGATGCCGTCATCTTCCCTGACTATGATGTCTTGCGTGTCTTCCGGGACTTCGGGGTTTGGAATGGTGCGCGTCCTGACGGGAACGATTTCGGCGTCAAACAGGGACGATTTCTGAGCCCTGGCGGCCTTTTGCTGCGAGTGGGCGGCAAAGGCGTCTTGGTCTTGTCTATTTACTCGATACCTCTCGGCGACGTTTTCTGCGGTAAGACCCATGTTCATAATGCAGTCTCTGGCATCCTTGACGGGGCTGTCTCTAAGCTCGGACCACAATTGAGTCGGAATTGCTCTCGAGCCGTAGTTGCGGGTCATGCTCTCCATGCCAGCGCCAATTCCCACGTCGATCTGGCCGACGGCGATGCTGTGGGCTATGCCGGTGATTGCTGCCAGACCGGAACTACATGCGCGATTGACGGTCTGGAGAGATGTGGTGGCGGGGTAGCCGACGTGATTGAGGGCCATGCGTCCCGCCTTGGAGCCGCCCAGCTCGGCCAGAACGGTTCCGACGTGGACATCTTGGACCTTGGAGGGATCGAGATTGGGATGCTTCTCGAGGGTTGCCTTGAGGACCTGTGCGACGAGCCGTGTCAGCGCAATCAACGGCGGGCCACAACGGACGGGCGAGAGTATAGTACGGCGGCTAGCAGTTCGTGGTCGTGGGCATCTTTGAGGGCGCCCTTCTTGGCGCGTGTGACGGGGGTGCGCAGAGCGGACAGGAAGACGACGTCGTTGGGCGACTTGGCAAGGATGTTTTTGGCACCTCTTTGAATGAAGCCAGCCATGGCGGAGAGAGTTACGGGAATAAGCTGGGGGAGTCGGGGCAATTTGTATGGGCCATGGTCGCGGGCATCGTATCGAGGGTTGCGGATGGGGTCCGCGGCGGGTGCGGGATGCGGAGAAGAGGTCGGCAGTTTCAGGGCGTGCCTGGCTTGACCTCTTCCGGGAACGCGGCTCTGTGTGCTCGTCCGCGAAAACTCTCTTCACCCATCGTCGACGACAGCTCCAATCGTCTTATTCCCAGTGGCGTCACACTCGACCGGGTTCCCCGTATGACTGACAATCATCATGCTTCTTGTTGCACGTCCTCCAGCTCCTCTCCCTCTCTCTTTCTCTCTCTCTCTCTCTCTCTCTCTCTCTCCACATCTCATCTCCGCTTCCCCATCCTCTCCCATCCTCTTCCTTCGCCTACCGCTATATACTCTCGCTCTCTCTCTTTTCTCCGACTGGCGGCCGGCCTTTGATCCGCCAACTGCTGTCCGCATGTCGGTCTTCTCTCGCTCCACCACTCGCCCCACTTGATTGCGAGCAGGTCTGATCCGTGATATGGCCGAGCCTCTGCAACCATATCCGAGTCTGAGCGCCAACATGACCCTCCGCTCCAACCCTTCGGCTTCTCGCTCCTCCCTCCATCATGACAACTCTCCGGCCATTTCCAAGTCCCCTGGATCCCATCACAGTTCTCATGCGGCCACGCCAATGATTCTCCGGAACGGTTTCCAAGTCGGCCAAGAGGCCAACGAAAAGGCCCACTTTGACCAGAAGCTCGGCTTCAGAGAACGCATCAGACACTTTACATGGACTTGGTTCTGCATGACCATGGCCACTGGCGGCATTGCAAATGTCTTGTATTCAGGTGCGCGGGTTGTGTGATTTGCGTGCATCCGCGAGCTTCATTGTAACTCAACTGACTGCCGCTAGTCCCCCTCCGCTTCCCTGGTCTTTTTGCCATTGGCTGCATCTTTTTCATTCTAAACATATTTCTCTTCATATTCAACATCGTCATGATTAGTCTTCGCTTCTATATCTACCCCCACACCTTTCGAGCCAGCTTCTTGCACCCGACCGAGAATTTGTTCATCCCTGCCTCCATCATCAGCTTTGGTACAATTTTGGTCAACATTTCCCAATATGGCGTCCCGGCCGCTGGTCAATGGCTGGAAGATGCCATGGTCGTACTCTTCTGGATTTATTGCGCTCTTGCCATTGTCTTTTCGGTCGGCATCTACCTCATCATGTAAGTCACTTTGGCTCTGCTCGTTTGTAGTATCAAGCTGACTGTTCAGGTGGTCGACGACGACCTTTACCATTTCCCAAATGACGCCCATATGGATCTTCCCCGCCTACCCCCTCCTCATCACCGGTCCCCACGCTGGCAATTTGGCTCAAAAGACTGGAGGCCTCCGCGCCCTCGACATCATCATTGGTGGTACCATTCTCCAGGGCATCGGCTTCATGGTATCGACCATGATTTATGCCGCCTTCATGTACCGTCTGATGACGCAAAAACTGCCCCGCGAGTCACTGCGTCCCGGTATGTTCATCAGTGTCGGTCCCTCGGGCTTTACCGTCTCTGGCATCGTCAACATGGGCAATATGCTTCCCAAATGCGTCCCGGCCGACTTCATGGGCGACGGCCATCTTACTGGCCAAATCAGCCGTGTCCTGGCCAATTGGATCGGCATCTGGCTCTGGGGCCTGGCCATGTGGTTCTTCTTCGTCTCGGTCGGCGCTCACTGGGCTCCCGCGACGCGCCGCCGCATGGACTTTGCCATGACTTGGTACTCGTTCGTCTTCCCCAACACGGCGCTGACGACGGCCACTTTTGCCGTCGCCAAAGCCCTGGACAACAACCGCGCGCTCCAAATCATCGGCTGCGTCCTAACCTGCGGCCTGATTGTAACCTGGTTTTTTGTTTTTTCGATGATGATCCGCGCCGTCGTGACGCGCCAGATTTTGTGGCCGCAAAAGCAGGAGGATCGCAACGAGGGCGGTTTCAAGACGCTCGCTGCCCACAGCGAAATGCGCGACCAGCGCAAGCTTACTCGCACCAACACCTTTGAGATGCCTGCGCACCCTCCGGACACGCCCGACCCTGAAATGCATCCACCCGCCCCGACCCCTTTGATGCGCACTCCCTGCCACAGTGATACGGATCTCACCAAGATTCAAGGCCACAATGACAATGCCTTGTTAAAGCCCTCTACCTGTGCTTGAGTGTCGCTCACTACTGCCCTTGCAAATCTGCGACAAAAAAGAGAACCGAAAAGTTTCCATTCTGAAAATCCAGCCAGTAATGATCGACTATGGACTTTGTGGCTGTGTCACCAGCTTGCTTTACTCGACCGACTCTTGTTTTCGGCAAGTCACATCTCGTTACTAGCTGCTGTGTTAGGGGACGAAAAGTTCCACTGTCTTTTTGTAATTCGGCGTCGTGGCATGACTTTGGTTGGTTGGCTGGTTGGCGCACCCTTTGATTTCGATACCACTGTATAAATACACCCGCGCGTCGTTGAGTTGACTGGAGGGGCACCATCCGTTTGTTTGAATGGTCCGTTCGGCAAGTCCAGCGTTCGTCAGCAATTGCTCCTTCTGCCTATGGGGAGTACACAAATCGAGGTTTTCGAAGGTTTTCAGGGTTGGTGCGGTACAGTTTACTCTCCCTTCGTTTACAATTCCAGTTTTTTCGGTAAGATAATCCCATGTGCTGTGTTCGCGTGCTGTGTTCGCATGCTTGCAGCCGGGCAATGCTATCCTGGACTTCACTGACTTGCATTGATGGAATACTTTTTCGGATTATGATGAGGCGGCCGGGAATAATCGAATACTCACACCCGCGTCATACCCGCACCTGAAACACAACTTCAACCTTCCCCTGCAGATTCTGGGTTGATAAGACCTTGCATGGTTTCTGTTTCAGCAGTGCATGTCTACCAAGCGATTTGAAAAAAGAAGAAAAACTGGTGTCCCTGATTGGTCCACTCGACCTCCCGGAACTTGCCAGTGGTCTACATGAATTGATAGAGCGGGACAAGACAGGGCGAGCTCCAAATTCTTGTCCTAGTCGCTACTACATGGTTCTACATCAAGTCCCCACAAGCGTCAGCGCCGTGGTCGAATGCTCCCGAAGAGCCACAGTTGAAGCAAAAAAAAGAGCAATCAAGTGGAGGAAAAGCAATTTTTCCGCGGCTTGTGAGACGAGGCACGCAATGCAACGCCCTCTCCGGATCTAGAGCATTTGCTGGACGTTGACGATTGGCTGAGGGACGCGAACTGCATGCTGATGAGCAACGGCGCCGAAGTGTTTGACATCTTCATGGTCGCGTCGCGTCCCTGGATTTTGGATGCGGGGTAGCTCACATACCTTGGTGGGGCTTCCCCGCGCGTCCGAAAACACGCGGAAGTCAGCTTCAGATCGAGCAACTGCTTGTCCACCCAAAGCTGAAGTCCGTTGGTTACTCCACAGGATGGGAATGATATTTCAGTGTGCGCGAGGGGAATTGCAAAGAGCTCCGTCAAAGTGCAGTGCGGGTCCCAACTTTTCCAGATCAAAAATAGATAGCCATAAACACTATAAGTTGGAACCTTCTCCATAAATCGGCGCGGTGGCCTAATGGTAAGGCGTCGCTTTCCGGCCACGGAGAGCTCCCAAAGAGTGTTTGGCGAAGATTGTGGGTTCGAGTCCCATCCGCGTCGCGGTTTCTTTTTGCGCCCTTGAACGGCATCGGGATGTCGCTTTTTGGTGTTCTGGGTGATGTAATGGCATGGAAGGCCATGCCAGAGGAGTTCCAGACACCGGGGGTGCGTGGTGGTGGAGATCTTTTGAAGTGAAGGACTTGGGCGTTGCAGGCCATTTGCCGGTGAGCGCTGTTTCCCTACTCGGTGGTTCATTTCCGGTAGTTGGTGTTTATGCGATGTGAAGATTCTCTGCAAGCTCAAACAGAGCGTCGAAGTTGAGGGCCGCGGTTGCCCGCATCTGCATCATTGTTGTAGTCCATGTCGTGAGCAGCGTAATGAAGGACGCGTTTTGTTTGACAGATTGAATACAGGATGCTCGGAGGCACCTGTCGCTGTGACCTTCTCCTTTCCATGATGGATTTTTTCTTTGCATGAGTATCCGCCGTTGCTTTGGACTAGCAATGGGTTGGCGTGTGGACCCAGATTCGCCTTCTGCACTTTGATCTCCAACCAGCTTTTTTCCTCAATCTTCACACCGCCCAACTTGAACTTGTCAACGAATCTTGACAGCTGGCAGCTGGCTTGAAAACACCCCATCCCCAAAGAGTCCATCTTCACCTGCAATATGAGTATCTTCGCCCTGCGCGCTTTGCTTGTCAAATCCTTGCTCACTATTTTCACTCAGTACTTTGCTCTTGCATCTTTCTGTTAAAAAGCTTTGAAGTTCAACATGATGAGCCCACGAGGATGGTTGTTCATCCTGCCAAATTGGGGAAGCTTGCCTCTCTGCACCATGTTTCGTAAGGCGCTCGGACCACCACCATCGGAACTTCGGCATCTGAGGCTCCGACTGCGAGGCCATTCCATTGGGTCGCGTCTTGGGGCAAGAGCTGTGTAGCCGTTCCACATCTTCAGCAAACGTCCTCCGGCAGTCCTTTGCTCCTTCACACCACTTGTACCTTACCTACCTGAGCTTCTGTGGCGCTTTCGAGCAGCTACCCTCGTTCGTCCTTCCGTCTCTTGTGCCGCGATCGCGATCGCCTTGGCTGTCGCTCAGGAGCAAGGAGAGGGCTATCATCGCTGGTTCGACTTCTGTCAAGCCTGCTTTCAGAGTGGAGACGCAAGCTAACCTGCCTCACCTACAACCGCCTTCCCACAGTTTCCCCACTCCTATCATGAGCTCGAGATCCGAATCGGAGGGAGAAATACACGAGCAACAGGTCGACAAGGCAACTAGTTCGACAATGCCATCCTCAAGGGGCGTCAGCGTTGACCGTCAATCCAGACCCCGCGCCTCAGCTTCGCTTTCTCCCAGGGGACCACATGAAAATGGCTCCCAGCGTCGCCGCTCCCGCTCCCCTTACAAAGCCCGGTCGCCGCGCGGAGAAAAGCGCCGTCGAGAGGACGACTTTTACAGTGACCGTGAGCGCCAGGACCCGCGCCGCTTCAAGGTCCGCTACGAAGATAGGCGCCCATACAGCCAAGACCGTCGGAACCGCGTCTCCTACGCAGACATCGATCGAGGAGACACTTCGCGACCTGCGCCCAGGTACGACGACCGCGACCACAATCGGTACCGGGGACATCGAAGCCGCTCTCCGCCATCCCGCCCACACATGAGAGGCGGACAGCCCCCCTCCGACTTCCGCAACGGCCGGTACGATTCGTATGACAAACGAGACCGTAGACGTCACGACCATGAAAAAGATGCAGAATGGCGCTCGCGCGAGTTTCCAGGGACCAACAGGCCACCTCAAAGAGCAGACCATCGCAGTGCCGCGGGACGAGACGTACCCTCGCAAGACATGCGATCAGAGACAGACCGGTAAGTGCCCTTTGGATGGGTGCCAGAATTCAGCTAACAGAGCTCAGGCCGACTGAAGAGCCAGCGAATGACCAAGCCCCAGCTCAAGTCCAGCCCGTTGATGAAGCAGCCCTGATCGAAGAACGTCGCAAGCGGCGCGAGGCCATCAAAGCTAAGTACAAGGGTCAATCCACGCCTTTGCTTGTTCAAGCCCTTCATTTGGGAAATGAGTCGAATCCAGCAACTCCGAAAGACGAGAGCTCTGACAGCCGTCCGGCGAGATCAGGTCGGTACAAAGCAGGAAACAGACGGGCGTGGGTGCTGATTTTTACAGTTTCCCCAATGGACTCATCGCCCATCACTCCCGACGGCTCTAACCCCGGCTCTCCGCCGGCTGTCCAGGTGCAACAGGACGAAGACCTTGCAAATCGCAGACGCATTGAGGATAATTCGACCGACAGGGACGAGCCGTCGGCGGCCGACTACGACCCGACTGCTGACATGAACGAGGACCGAGCTCGCGTCGAACAACAGCAGCATATCCGCGAAGCCCACCAAAAGGCAGAAGCTCAAGAAAATGAGCAGCAGCCTGAGCCCAAGTCTCAGGAGACTTCGAAGCCCAAGCCCAAAGACGAGTTCGACATGTTTGCCGAAGACGACGATGACGACATGTTTGCTGAAGAGACAACCTCCAAGCCCATTGCCAATCCTAGCGAGTCTGGCAAGGCACCGCAGGTAAAGAAACTGGACAGCAGTATGCTTGATGTCTGGGACGACCACCAAGGCTATTACAAGGTGATTCTCAATGAGCTGCTCGACGACCGCTACGAAGTCCAGGCCAGACTTGGAAAGGGTGTGTTTTCCGAAGTCGTGCGCGCGAGAGATGTCCAGACCAATACCCTCGTTGCCATCAAAATCATCCGCAATGACGAAGTCTTGAGGAAGGCTGGAGTTAAGGAGATCGAGACGCTGGAGAAGTTGGCAGACCACGATCCGGACGACAAGCGCCATTGCATCCGCATGCTGCGCTGGTTCGATCACAAACATCACTTGTGCATGGTATTCGAGCACTTGAGCGTCAATCTTCGAGAGGTGCTTAAAAAGTTCGGTCGTGACGTCGGGCTCAACCTCAAGGCTGTCCGCTCTTATGCGCAGCAGATGTTTGTTGCTTTGAGTCTGTTGCGCAAGTGCACCGTTGTCCACGCTGACATCAAGCCCGACAACATGCTGGTCAACGACACACGTAATGTTCTCAAAATCTGCGATCTTGGCTCCGCCATGGACATTTCCGAATGCGAAGTGCCTGCCGGCCTACTGGTGAGTCGCTTCTATCGCGCGCCTGAGATTATGCTCGGGATCCCACACGACTATGGAATCGATACTTGGGCCATTGGCTGCACCCTCTTCGAGCTCTACACAGGCAAAATCCTCTTCACCGGACGTGACAACAACCAGATGCTTCGCTCCATCCAGGAGTGCCGTGGCAAGATGAGCGCCAAGTTGCTCAAAAAAGGCTGGGCGGACTACGTCTATGAGCATTTTGACGAGAATCTGAACCTCTTTAGGAGCGTGGAAACGGACAAGATCACAAACAAGGTAAGCACCAAGAATTCTTTCGTTGATCCTGGCTAATTTTTGGAAAGGATGTCATTCGCATGGTCAACTTCACGAAGCCAACCAGGGACCTCAAGTCTCGCCTCATTGGAAGCTCCAAGGGGCTGACAGATGCTGAACTCAAGGAAGTCAACCTCTTCCATGATTTCTTGGATAAGTGCCTTTCCCTCAATCCGGAGAAGCGCATCACTCCCTATGAGGCCCTGCGTCACCCGTTCATCCACCGCACCAAGCCTTGAGTCGGCTCTGGTCCTTTCATTGTATCATAGTTGGTTTAGTGAGGCACAGCTCTGCTGCAGGCAGAATCATCCCAAATGCCAGAAAAGGCACAAAATGGCGAAATTCGGGGTTGATGGTCTGAGTGGTACATTGCGGAGGTCATCTCGAGTACTCCTCTTTCACAGCATTGGGTTTGGGTAATGGGAGTTGCTACTGTAACATAGATAGCGGATAGCGTCAATGGCGATTAAGACATACATACATGTACAGTTGGTTTGCTCAGGCATTGAGATGGGCATGTTAAAGCAACGAGAAGGCCTTACGGCAGGCACTTTCGTCTAGCAGACCACCAGTTCCGCGTAGCAGTCGCGTTGATGCCCCGCCCAACAACGACATTCCTTCGTTGCAAGTCTTCGCATGTGCATAGATTGTATCAGCCAAGATAGCAACCAAGCACTGCCACATGTTTAACACTCCGTCTTCGCCCAACCACGGCCCAACCTTTGACTGTTCCTGGGCAACTCTGAACAGAGTCACTTAATGGCGAGAGTATTGGACACGGATGGTTGAGACTTAATCTCAAGGTTTTGGTCGGACTGGACAATAATATCACGTTTGTTATGGTCCAGGTGCCTGGAACAACTGCCAGAAAGGTCGCCATGCCACGGGTGACTAGTATTGGGCAGCAGCAATTAAAGAGTTTCTCCTGGCACGCTCCCCGGATTGCTGGAGCGACTGTGCGTCTGGAGAAAGTCAAGTGTCTGTGTTTACTGAAGGGCCCATCTGACCTCGCCGGGTTCTCGCGCTGGTCCATGGCCAGAAGCTAAGGTCCGAACGAGGTGGATCATTGTGGATAGATTCGTTTGCTTATCGGCATCGTGTTTGCCTGCAGCAAGATTCTCGCCACCCGGATTGCGCTAGTCACTTGTGTATCTACTCGTGGGCGCAGGAATCCTCAAGGTCCCGGCAGAAAAAGAAACAGTTACTACGGAGATCTGACAGGATAGATTGCGGTGTTACAGCAGTATCCTTTAAACACACATCAGACCAAGCCTCACTTTGTAGATGGTTTAGAGAGAATAGCTGGGCTTAATCGCAGAAAGATTTCCTCAACAAGCACAACAGAAGAAACGTAGAAATCTTCACAGCCCCCCATATGCAGGGACTTGTCGCTCACTGGGCTAAAGTTAGTAGCGCAGCTGCTACTTTACAAGCTCAGCCAATCACGTCTTCTGAATCCGAGACTGACGGGTCGGCTGGACATCGACCGCCAGTGCCGTGGGGGACTCTCGTTGACCGACTGTGAAAAGGTTGCTCCAAAGCCAGGTCGCGGGCTCTGACTACAGCCTCAGGGTCCACGGGGAGCAGTGATAAGTGATCA